CCATAGATCGTTCTAATACAATCAGTAGATGATGGGTTATATCTTAGATCGGAATTTTTATTTTTTGACGTTTGAAAATTTAAAAAAATGCGAAAATTAAGATAACTCGTTATGTAGTAATAATAAAAAAATGAAAAAAGGCTCATTAGATTTGTCTCATTAAGACCTATCAAATGATGCCAAGATCATGTCTCTAGGATCAATAGATACGATTCTATCACTAGTTTTATAAAAATGTTTAGCGTTGATTATCTCGTGATATATCGAGGCTAGAGCGATGATCTTACCACCATTCGACGCGTCTCGATGAGACGATTCTAATGAGCTATTGTACGTCTTTATACGATCACTGGTTGCTGAGTTATTTCGATTTTCGCATTTTTTCTTAAAATAAAATAGAACTGAACCAGGACCCCGGATATCTCCAAAACAGGTCATAAGTCACACTTTCGGCAGATTGGCCCATTTTTCAGGGGCCCAAAAAATCGTTTTTTGTAAATATCTCGGCATCCAGTGGTCCAATTTTGATGAACTTTTTTTAAATTGTAGAGCTAAATGAGGGCTACAAAATAAAAAAAAGTTCATTAAAATTGAATTACTGGATGCTGAGATATTTACAAAAAACGATTTTTTGAGTTTCAGCAAAAAGGGGTGTTTTTGGCCAAAAGTCCATTATGACCTTTATATTAGATATCCGGGGTCCTACTGAACCGAACCGAACGGTTCCAGTTCCAAAACCGAACCGAGAACCGAACTGAATTTTTGGTCAGTTTTGGATCGGTTCCCAGTTCAAACCGGAACCGTTTGGAGCTCTATTTACTATCTTCATCTTCACTATCATCACTATCATTATCATCATCATTATTTTCATCATTATTTTCATATTCTATTGGTATTTCAATATCTTTTCCATCTTCTCTTAATATTAATGTCTTTTCATTATAATCTATTATTCCTTTCTTTTCTCTTAATACATTATTTCCTAATATTAATTCTTTTTCTACTGATTCAATTACATCCATAATTATTTTCATTTCTGTATTTTCATTTATTTCTATTGTTATTTCTATTTTTCCTTTTGATGCAACTCTTATTCCATTAGCCATTATAAATCTAATATCACTCTTTTCTATTATTGGAATATTTAATTTTTTTCTCAATTTATCTGATATTAAGCTAACTGATGCTCCTGAATCTATTATTATTGATCCTAATTTTCCTTTTATTATAACTTTACTTCTCATTGCTCTAGTTTTACTTTTATTATCTGTATTTTTTATTGGTTGGTCTGAATGTAGTCATGCACTATTATTTCCATCATAATCTCTAGCTATTCTTTTAAATTTTGGATTTTCATTGTAAATTTGTCCATATGTTATATTTGCTTTTTCATTAAACATATCCATTACATATTTTTCTGGTGGTACATTAACTTGTACTCTAATATTTTTATTTCCTCTTTTCATTCCTGAATTTGGACATTCTCTTATAAAATGACCTTTTAATCCACATCTTTCACATTGATTATATCTTCTTCTTGCTTGATATGCTTTATCTCTATCTTCTTTATTAGAAAATCCTCCTTTTCTTTCACCATCAATATCCATTTTCATGTCATATTCTCTTTTGGTGATATTGGAACATTTTCAATTTCCATTTCATTATAGTCATCATTTAGATTTCTATTATATGTTTTACCACTTCTTAAAGTTGGATATATTTCTTTTTCGTAATTATATATTTCATAATCATTATAATATTCATTATCATTATATCTATTATTATCGTAATATCTTTCATAATCCATTAAGTTTATATTTCTATTATTATTATTATTTCTTCTTTTATTATTATTATTCCTATTAAAATTATTTTGCGTTCTATAATTATTTCTTTGTCTTAATTGTGAACATTCTGGTTTTATATGAATTTCTTCATTGCATTCAAAACATCTCATAATTCTTGCATTTCCTGTATTTATATTTCTATTTTCATTTCTTCTTGGTTGACTTGTTCTTACTTTTTTTAGCATTTCTGCTTTAAATTGTTCCAACATTTTAGTACTTATATTATCAACATCTTTTTCATTAACTGGCTTTTACATTTTTTTATGTATTTCATTTTCTTTTCTATATTTATTCGTTTCTTCTTTCAAAATTTCTTCCATATTCTTTTCTTGTCCTACTTGTCCTATATTTAAACCCATTGTTTTCATTACTAATTCACTCCTAGCTTCTTCTTCTCTTCTTGCTATATTAATTGCGTCATTTAAATTCGTTGGACTACTTCTTCTAACTTGGTATCCTAATGTAGGTTCTAATCCTTGGATATAATAATTTACTTGATACATATCGTGTAATGCTTGACCTCTAGTTGCAATTCTTAATATTGACCTAAACCTTCTAGTATACTCTTCAATACTTTCATTTTTTTCTTGTTTAATCCTTGTTAATTCTATCATTTTTCTTCTTTTAACATCTTCTCTAGTGAATCTATTAATTAATTTGCTTCTCAAATTTCTATCATCATCATGGTCATACCAATTTACTAAATTAGCTGCTATTCTTTCTTTTTCTTTATTATACCATTGTAATGCGATTCCTCTTAAACATGTTATTGCTATATTTGCTTTATTTTGTCTACATGCACCTGCTCCAACATTTCCTTCTGGTCTTCCACTTACTGTAAATGCTACTTCAAACTATCTAATCCAATCATTAACATTTTCATCTTCTTTTTCACTAAAAGTTGGCATACCTACTATTCCTCCCATTCCTGCAGTTTGAATTCTGTTTGCTAAAGTTTGTCCTGCTCCTAATGCATTATCTAATGCATTAGGTGTGAATTCTAAAGCATTTTCTATTATTCTCTTTATTTGATCTTGGTTTGCCATATTTAACAATATATTCTCTTGAAATAAATCTTGTAAATTGTAATCAGATATTTCACTTTCATTATCAGAATCTTTATTATTCGAATTTGAGTTTTGACTTAAACCAAAACCTTCTGTATTTATAATATTTTTATTTTCGCTCTCAAATTCATTCTCATCAAAACCTTCAGTATTTTCTTTCCAAATCTCATGTTCTTCTGGATCTAATATTTCTTCAATCTTTTCTGAATCATCTGTATCATTATTTTCTTCTTCAACTTCTTCTTCACTTTCTTCAATTCTAAATCTCTTTAAATATTCATCTAATATTCTTTTTATTTCCTTTTCTAATTTATTCTTATATTCTTGAAATAATTTTATAAAGTCTGCACTTACAATGTCAACATCTCTATATTCCATACTTATTAATTTTAATAATTCTCCATCAGAAACTTCAATTTCTAAAACTTTAATTAAGTTTTTCAATTGTTCTAATCTTTTTTCTATTTCCGTTTCATTATTTAATTCATTTTCATTTTTTGAATTTTCTAATTCTTTTTCATAACAGCTTTTACATATCTTTTCTATAAATTCTTTATTGTATTCTACCACTTCTATTGCTTCTTTCTTTAATATTATTTTGTTACATATTGGACATTCTATTGTATACATATAATGCCATATTCTTAATTCTTCTTCTATTCCTTTATCATCTAATTCTTCAATAGTCTTATAAAAACTCATAAATTCTTTAGTTTTTATTATCTCATTATTTACTCCAAAACTTATTATTCTTTTTATTTCTTCAATATCAATTTCATAGTCATTTTCTAACCAATAATTTCTTATTATCATTTCAAAAATTTCGTCTTTTTCATTTAGATTTTCTGATATATTATCCTCTTCGTTTGAACTTACTAATTCTTCTATATTATCATATTCTTTAATAAATCCTTTTGTTTCAATTAATTTTCCTATTATTTTATCAGTTAAATCATTATCTTTCCATGGTTTCACATAATTATTACTCCATTGATAATTTATATTTTTCTGAAATTTTCTTACTTTATCTCTATTTTCGTCTTTAATTATATTTTCTTCTAAATGTAATATTTCTTTAAAATATCTCATAGTATTATATTTTTTATCCTTTATTGTTGTTAATTCTGATTCTTCTAACCATTCTTCAAATTTAAGAAATCTTATATGACCAATCAATTCAGTTCAGTTTCGGTTTTGGCAAAAACCTTATCAAACTGAACTAATCAGAGCCCTAAGAAAAGCTTCATGGAGAAGCAGCATCTTCTGATCAAACTGCTATTGATAAAGTTTTACCATTATTAAGGTTGCTTGTCTAAATCTCTTCAAAATCCTACGATTAGTTTTGTCAAAATTTTACTATAGATTTGGCAGAGTTTTTGCAGTTTCGGCATTTATAATAAGTTTTAGCAGTTTCGCCTTTCTCCAAAGTTTCGCCAGTTTTTTAATATAACTTTAATATAGTTTTGGCAGAATTTCACTTTTTAGCGAAATGCCATCTTGTCTAAACCCCTAGGTTTGGCAAGCAACCTTAACCATTATTACGTATTAAATGTGCAAGTTATCCCCTTGAACGAATTTACAATATGGACGAAACAGGACTTTTTTATCAGTATATTTTTATATTTTATCTAATATTATATTAGCAATAATTAAATTAAGGAATATTTTTTTTTGTAGGCTAGAACCAGATTGAACACTAGCTACAAAACGTATTTCTGAACGAAAAAAAAATAAGAAGCGTCTCTCAATTGCTTTATGTGCAAATGCTAATAGATCGCATAAACTGGATCTTTTAATAATTGGAAAATTTGCAAAGCCATGATGTTTTAAAAATGTTAATCTTAATAATTTACCAATGATGTATTGAAACAATAATAAGGCTTGGATGACTATTACTCTTTTTTAAAAGTGGCTTAAAGAATTTGATTATCAGGTCGCTTAAAAGCATGGAAGTCAACGTGTTTTACTACTTCTTGATAATTGTACAAGTCACAAGCTAGAAAGTCTGGTTTTCCCACATGTTGAAGTTTGCTTTTTACCTCCAAACACAACTTCAAAGATTTAGCCAATAGATGCTGAAATTATCATGTCTTTTAAGAAACATTACCGTTATTTTCATATTCAGTAAGTTATAAAATTATTTTATTTTATTTATTACATTAAATTTAACATTATGATTTTAGCTGGATGTTGAAGCAAGTTGAAGCTGGTGAGCGTACACAAGATTTAAAGATGAGTATTTTACAAGCAATTCAATATATTATTCAAGGTTAGAATAATGTTACAGCTAAAACTATTTACAATTGCTGGTAGCATACAAAGATCCTTCCTATTGACATTAATGTTAACCTAGATTTTCCTTTGGATGATCACGAAGTGTCTGATGAGCTTGCCAATGCTCTTAAAACTCTTAATTTTTCTGATATGATGGAATTGAAAGAGTTTTTCAATATTCCTGAAGAGAATATGGTATATGAAATTCTTCAGTTGATGATGATGAAATTATTACAGAAATTGTAGACAATTTTAAAAAAAAACCAAATGAGAAAAATATTAATGATGATTTAGATGAAATTAATAATAATATCAAAGAAGAAGTTATTAATTTTAGTGTTGCATTAAAAAACTTGAAAAAAGTGAATATATTTTTACTTCAGCAAGAATATGTATATGACATTTAAAATTGGTAAATACAATTGAAAAATTTATCAGAAAAAAAGAAAGAAATTCAATGTAGCAAACTATTATAAATCAATATAATTTTGGTATAACTAATTTTAGTATAATGATTATATCTTAATAATAATAATTTTTAAATATAATAAAATAAACAATAATATAATAAACAATAATAAAGTATAATTTTTTTTAAATATCACATGAAATTTTATAAAATTATATAAGTGCACACTCTCTATAACTGCACGTTCATGTTTGGTTCTAAAGAGGTGCGCTTAGAGAGAGTTGACTGTACTATGCAAATTATGATAATTATTAATACAAGCCTATTATAAGTTTATTATACTAAATAAATTATATATAATAATTATTTTAGTAGTAATCAGTAGTATTTATACAAAAAAATATAAATTTGTTTTAACTTATTTGTCTATATATATATTTTTGAATGCCAACTGATGATTATTTGTAATATTTTCTAGTTTATTATATAAGTTTGATATGTTAAATAAACTTCTATATTTGCTAAAGTATTTATACAAATTATCAATGCATCTAAATTAATTAAAAATAGTCCAATTGCTGTTTTAATATCACTAATTTGTTTATTTTGCATTGTTACAATTTGATAACAAAGCAGCATTATCTGTTGCTTTAATAATTGTTATATTTGTAAATTTTTACTTTAGAGGTTCATGAATTGAAAAATCATATTAAAAAATCCTTTAACTTATACATCATGATTCTCAATCAATTTTTCAAATTCCATTACATTCCATACAGGCAAATTTTTTCTATAAAAATATCTATATAAAATATTTGTGAATTGCAATCTGTCTAATTTAATCTGAAAAAAACTCTGAAAAATCATTCAATTCTAATTTAAATTTAACAATAATATTGTATTAAATAAAGGATAAATCTAATTGTAACAGCCTGTTACGCGTCTTATTTGTAACAACCCCAATTTTATCCAATTAAAATTTAAGATCAGGCGTAATGTAAACAAAAACAAAAGATCAGTTGTGTAACCAAGACAAAAGAATTTTTTAAAAAATTTCAAGAAACTGAAATTTTGTCTATGAAACTGTCTTAATTACATTAAGTAAAAGTTTTCCAAATTAAATTTTACATATAAAAATTTTATTTGTAAACCACATACTAAATTTATTATTAAAAAAAAATAAAAAAAAGATGTTACAAATAAGATATATAACAGGCTGTTACGAATACATTTATTCTTAAATAAAAATTAAATCAATTTGGATTTAAGAAAAAGTAAAATTACCTAATTCTTTTGCTTTTTCCATCTGATTTAATTGAAATTCTAAATCTTCTATTTGATGTATAAGTTCATTATATACTTTTTGTGATAAAAAAACTTGCTCTGTATCTTTTGGATAATATAATAAATCTGAATTTTTTTTATTTTGTATTTTAGCTATTTTTTGATTATAAACAAACAAATTATTATAATAAAACTAACATAATTGGTCATTAAGTTTAAATTCAAAAGTAAGTTGTTGAGTGGCAGAACTTTTTATAGCTTTGGCAAATAAATTTTTGTTCAGTTTTCTATATTTTTTTTCCAGAAATTTGCTGATTACATACAGTATAATGACTATTATTCTAATGAAAATTTACCTTTACCATTACTATTAGGCAAAATTTATACTAAAATGGGATTAGAAAAAGTTATTTAAGGATCAGTATAGTAAAGATAAAGCTGAACCTTCTCATAAACTTTCAGGTAAAATTATTTTGTAGTATAAGATGACTTTATTATACAACCTTATTTTACATTTTAAAATAATACATCTGATCATTTACAATTGATTATATAATTTCATTGATATTTGGTACTTTAATTTTAAACCAAAACTTGATTATTATATAATGAAAATAAACATTTAGATTCAAAAGAAGATTCAGAAGAAGATTCAGAAATATTGAGTCAGTATATTCATAAATTTCTTCTTCCATTTAAAATGCAAGTGGCTTTGTAAAGTGTGTAAAAATAATAGATAATTTTTATAATTACCTATAATTGTAAAATTTATGTTAAATAATTACTAAATTTAACTAAAAAAATAAAATAGTAATAGCATTATCATATATAAATTTATATTAAAAAACTTTTTATTTTAGTAAATTCTTGAATTGTTTTACCAAAAAATTTTTGATAAAAAAGAATTTCTAATTTAAAATAACAATTATTTACTGGAAAAAAAAGATTAGCTAATTATATTATAAAACTTATTATTAATGTATAAAATTAAGGTAGTTATGATTTAAATTTTAAGGTTAAATTTCAGATTACCATGTTTTAGGATGTTTAACTATTTATATTATAATTAATAAAACATTATAAGTAAAGTTTAACAGTTAAAAATTTCGTACACTACTATTTTTAATTGAAAATTTCAGTTTTCATGGATTTTTGGGCATTCGATTATTTTTTATGCTATGGCTATGCTCAATATCATTTTTGATGATAATGAGAAATCTAAATTGAAAAACCCTTTTCCCAGCTATTGTCTACTTTTAATGGATCATGAATCTATTTTATGATCATCTTATTGAAAAGTCATTATACAGAATGCAGGAATAAGTTTTTTAATGGTCTTAGTAGTGAAAGGTTCATAAGCTGTACCGAAGTGCAGTGAAAAAATATTCGATATTGGTAGAACTAAAAGGAAGTAAGTCACAAGCTTTCGGGACATTTGGAACATCAGTTGTTGGTTACGTTATAATGGTGTCTAAGACAATGAAAAGGTAAATATATATGCAAGGAATTATCTTATTCACGTCTAATTTTGTTGGTGATCCTAGTACACTTTTTCAGATAACCACTTCTCTGAACTGAAAAAATTTGTGAGAGCAGGTATCTTTTTTTTTTTTGTTGTACCACAAAAAGTAAAAATATATAATCTATCACTCGTTTGGGTTGAAGATCGTGTTAAATACAGTACCTCTGAGAACTAATTTGGACTTTAAATCAGAAAATGAAGAAAGTGCAAGTTTATCAAAAAGAAAAGGTTACTGAGGTGAGAGAGTTCATCAGTTGAAATAGGTGACTTAAAAAAAGGTGTACTTATGTTATTATATTCCATAATATGAAATAAAATTTGTAAATAACTTCATGTAGTTTATTGCTCCTTGCGAACGCTTATTCCACTTATTCTTAGCAATAATTTTCGTCCCACTTTTTATTTAATAAATTGAATTAACGGACTGAACTACTGTATCGCATTGAGTCATATAATTTTTATAATGTCAGTAGTTCAAAATTTTCAATTTAATTAACTTCATCTGATAGATGATTTTCTCCTAACTGCTAATACATATATTAATTTGTTATGAAGCTAATAATGGAAAATTATTTTAATCACTCATTTATAAACTCCTTAATTTATTTAAGAATAAACTAATAATCTCCGTCAGCAAGAGGATTTGCATGAATTGTAACAGATTTAATTCTAATATCTTGAATAGGTCTATATTTCTCATCAACAGGTACTTTCTCAATAGCATCTAATGTTGTATCTGATCCATCAATAACCCTTTAAATAGAAATATTTTAGCATCACATGAAGAATAAAAACATTTTGCAAAAAATATACATACTTTCCAAATACGGTATTCTTTGTATCTAAGCTAGGTAATTTAGTATATGTTATAAAAAATTGGGATCCATTTGTATCAGGGCCACTATTTGCCATAGAAACTATACCTCGTGAATTGTGCTATGAATTGTGAACATTTATATAAACAATAAGTTACTAATATAAATAAGAAATTAAATATAACATTTACCTTTAAGGAAGATTTAATTTCATCTTCAAATTTCTTTCCCCAAATTGAAGTCCCACTTTTACCAGTTCCTGTAGGATCTCCTGTCTTAATTTAGGGATCATAAGGTTAGTACGATCACAACTGAAATTCATACAAATTAAGTTTAATTTTTACCTGTACTATAAATCCTTTGATATTTCTGTTTTGGGATTATTTGTTAGTGAATTATAAAATGTGTTCAGTTTCTCCCTATTTGCTTACCTAACACTAACCTGTGAAATAAATTGTTGTCATAGAATCCACTTGCACACAATGCTAAAAAATTCTATTATAAAAGAGAATATAGTGAAATCGATTTTGTAAAAAGAGATATCAAAAAAATGATATACTAACCTCGGCAGTTTTTGGTACTGCCTCACAGAATACTTCAATTTTAAGATCTCCTAGTTCTGTATGAAGTGTTACTGACTAATAAATAAGTTAAATTAATTAAAAAGGTAATTAATTATGTAATTAACTTAAACGCTGAAATATAAATTAAGTACCATCGAGAAGACTAAGTTGTTAAGATATGTATAATATTACCAAGAAATTTTATATCCCGATTCTACGTCATCCCGCGTGTGGCGCAGTTATACACTGTGTCACTGGTAATTAATTTGACGATAGTAAACTAAAAAAAATAAGTATCCTCAGTTTACATTTATATGAGATTTGGAGACCATAAGGAGTTCGGTCTACTCTTTTACTCAATGATTGTCCTTATTATTATTTTGTTACTAACTTTTCTGCCCTTGGAGGTTCCAGCATTACTCTGCTAATCCTTGCTAATATATATTTGCGGGGTTCGCAAAAAAGGGACTATTTTAGAGATAGATTAAAATTATTGTTATCTATCGCACCATCCCATGTTCTCTAACGTTAGATATAATATTTAATTACATCTCAACTTTATTTCAAAGGAATTACCAATTGAAACAAGTAAAATGATTCATTATATGTATCTTTCGTTATTCATTAATTCATTATTAGTTATTACAATGAGAATACGTACGCTATATGGTTCTTATCAAAATGGCATCTAATTGTTATCGCGTTTATTGTTTTTAACCGCATTCCAAGATATAAAATACTTAAAGTACACTCTGTTTCCCAATTTTTACCGAGATTTGTTTCTTAGAACGTCACAGTTCTAATGAGGTGATACATTTAATTGGTTCCTACATAATTTACAATAAATTATAAATATATAAATATAAACAAATATATTTTATTCTCGTATAATTTTAAATTTAGATATCGGTTTCTCTTTTGTAATAATTGTTTATTGTGGTAAATGTTGCACATGATACACGTATGGAAAACATCGTCATGTACATGGTTCAGCTTTAATGAAATTTGATAACATGTCTTAATACAAGAAGTCGGAATTGGTTGTATTTTACTAACCGCTTTTAGCAGCTTCCCTTAAAATAACCGATTAACTGGTTATTCAAAACAGGTTATTCCGATTAATCGCTTGGAATCGTCTTTTACGTAACATAGACCAATTTCTATCTGCAGCCGGTTGTAACCGATTAATCGGTTGTAATAACCGATTAATCGGCTACAAATGGGGATACTGCAAATACTAAGTCTAAATCACGTTTCAAATGTGCAAAGTTTTTAATCACAAAAACGAAAACGTCAAAGTTTGAATTCATTAATAAAATAGAAATGTATCGCAATAAATAATTTTTTAAAACATTAATTTATTTTCCTTTATAAACGGGTTGTCTCTTTTCTTTATATGCCTTCAATCCTACAAAATAAACAATACATTCCCAAAACGTATAAATTTAAATTATAAAATCCCGAAAAATCTCTTAATAAATTGCGATTTGTTACCTTCAATCCGATCTTCCGTGTGAATAACTTGAGCGTAACAGGTTTGTTCAAATTCCAATGCAGAATCTCTGAAATATAAGGATTTAGTTATCATATAAATCTACAATAGATCATTTGTATAATTCGAAATTTGAACTTACAAATCAAGTTGACTACCACGATCAATAGCCAATTTAGCCATACGAATAGCAATAGGTCCTTTATTGAAAATGAGAAACAAAGAAGTATTAATGTTTTATTTCGAGTAAAGATTAAAATAATTTAAAATTTACCACATGGTAAAATCTGCTTCGCGATATTCATTGCAATTGCCATCGATGAACCTTCCACTGTTGCATAGTTCACAATTCCTAATTGATCGGAGTACAAATAAATTAAAAAAAATTTTGTGATAATTCAAACATATTAAATGCATTTAATCGCTTGGGTGTATTACCATCTTCAAGTGCACCTTTTGCGCTTACTATTCGTCCTGTAAATATTAACTCTTTAGCCTTTGCAACTCCAATAGCGCGTGACAGCCGTTGAGTACCACCAGCACTAACCAAATTAAATATCGTATTCAATTTATAGTTCCTTAATTACGAAAAAAAAAATTTTTTTTTACCCTGGTATTATACCAAGTTTAGTCTCTGGAAGTCCAATTTTGGAATGTTCACCTATTTAACATAAATATTAATAAAATATATGTATCTATACCATACAAGGACCAATTTTAAGTTTTATCTCACCAGCAACTCGCATATCACAACATAGGGCTAATTCAAGTCCTCCACCAACACAGATACCATCAATTACAGCAATTGTTGGTACAGGAAGTCTCTATTAACAAATACAAACATTAAAATTATCATAGAAATAAAATTCAAGAGAAGAGGAATTTCCACCAACTTCAAGATCACGAAATGCTCCTTGCAAATTATGAAGGAATTCTTTAATTTCTAACTCTGACATATTGATGCGTTCCTATTATATAAATTGAATCAATGACTTTGTGCTATCAACATAATAAATATATAAAAGAGTGTACTATAATTTTATACCTTTAAGTCAGCACCTGAACAAAATGTGCGGTCTACCAAACTTCTCAATAAAACAACACGAGAATCACTGAAGAATCAATTAAATTTTATTAATTATTTTTATTTAAATTGATAAATCGAAAGAAGTTTCAATTACTTTTCGAATCTTAGATTATTCACAGTATCACGAAATTCTCTTAATAAATTTCTTGAGAATGCATTTTTTGTAGCTGGATTATTAATATTTATTATAGAAATTCCTAATTATCATAAAAATTCGATTAAAGGACTTAGTTTTTTATTATAATTTCAGAAGAAAACTTGATATCACAATACCTTTATCTTCGCCTCCCAACTTCTCGACAAAGCATAATTTTTCTGATGAAAGTACAGTTGAAGTATTTAAAGCGCGTGATAAAATAGTTTTTTGGATAACACGTTGTTTTTGAATAACATTGTTAAAAATAAATGGTTGTTGAAGAATACAAGTTAAATTGGGTTTCATTTTTATTCGAAGGAAAAACGATGTACAGTCATTGATATTTTAGTAACACGAAATTTTTGATCGATGGAATTGCTAAAAATAGGAATTTTAAAGGAAATGGATGAAGTACAGTAGTATACGTGAGAAGTTACTGAAATATATATCAGAAAAAATTGCTAACATCAAAAAGTTCAGATGAGAATGAAAGAGGTGTCTCTGGTATCAGACGAAATCATTCTTGTCTCAGAAACATCATGTTTATCCTATCTAATTTTTTTGGATCGATTTAGAGCGTAACTTAGGAGAATGTATATGATATTGCAGTAATATAAGTTAAAAAGTAAACTGTGCATTATTGATTTGTTAAAATAATAGTTTATTGGTTCCGAATCATTAGGAATTTCAAAAAATATTTTCCTTTCACGTAAATATTTCTCGTGACCACAAGATAGTTCGTATTACATTGCTGCGTGTGACTTCACCACTACAAGTTGGGCATTTGATATTATGTGCATTTTTTACGATCTTTCCCTAAATAAGGTCATAATATAAACCATTTGCTAAATTTGCAATTTGATAAAACTTTTATTATTTTACACCTTTTTTTCTTAAAAACTGGAAATTTATTAAAATGGGTTCGCGGGTAACAAATAGTTCTACGGTTGATTCTAGTGAAATTCCACTATGCAATGAGAAATACATTTCGGTATTTTTTATTTATTGCGCTTTATTCAGAGCTTTTTTTATATTGGATTTTTTTTTCTAACGCTTTTTGTTTAATTACTTTTTGTAATTTAGGTATATTTAAATGTATATGACATGGTAGGTTAAATATTAAATTCGTCAAATATTAAAGAATTTGTACTCATGCAATTGTCTTTTTTTTTCTCTAGCTGCCAAGGGGGAAAATTACGGATATGTGTTATAAAATGGGCGTTGGAGTATTTCATTCTAGTGTAGAAATTTTAGGAAGAGGTAATTCAATAGCTTGTCTTTTTTTTGTTAATTAAATTAGGAGTAAATTTAATTTCATTTTATAGAATATAATTTTGGAGGTCACGATTCTGATTACACTGGAGTTTTTGTCACTAGACCTAAACAAGGTCCACCGAACGTAACGTTCAAGTAAAGCTTTATTCTATTTTATTTTATTTTATTTATTTATTTTTTAGTTTTTTGACATATTCATTGGCATATCGCTTAAAATTTCCTTTAGGGAATCCATTGCAATGGGATATACAACAATGGATAAAGAAGAGATAAAAAATGTCATTGATGAATTATCACGTGAATGGCATGGAAACACCTATAATCTATTAACAAGGTTTGTATTTCGAAATTGAGAAGATCGTATTAATGGTTGATTTAACACATTTATTTACAAAATTTAGAAATTGCAATCATTTCTCGAGCGAATTATGTGAGCAATTAGTTGGAAAACCTGCACCGAGTAAGTTTTTATTTAAAAAGTTTGAAAAGTTTTAAATCTTGATTAATTTTTTTTTAAAAAAAAATTTTATTTAGAATGGATAAATAGAGCTGCTAAATTAGGAACTTTTTTTCCATGTAAGTATTTTTTTCATTTTATTCTTATATAATGTACCTCAGCATTTTTAGTTGCCTCAAATTTTTTATAGTGTATAATTAATTAATAGAAAATATCAAAAAACAATCAGGTATTCAATCTAATAGTTGGATAATGAGTTCTATGAAAAAATATTTTTCAAATGAAGTTAATATTCCTACAGCATCTTCTAATATTGAGGTACTAAAAATGTAATGTGGTACAACATCTTAAGCAATTTTTTAAATTAGAATCTTTAATAACATCAAGGAAGAAATGGGAATAAATTTAAAGTTTATACGGAAATAAATCAAATTCTTAGTTGATTTTTGTATGGAAGTATGAGGTACATATTTATGCGGCTATAAATTAAATCTAGTCGCTTGAAATATGCCCTTATACTATAATTTAATTTTTCGATCGCGTTACTATTGATATAATATATATATATATAATAATTTTTGTTTAAATTATAGGTGTTGTACCGAATGGGTCGGAACTTGATAATGGTGAGAAATAAATTATATCTTTGGAAACTTCTTTAAATCACATTATTTATATAAATTTTTTCTACCTAACGAACATGAACTATAGCGACAGTACCAATAACTGCAACAATAAATACGAGTACAAATACAAGTACAAATATAAATACAAACACAACAACTAGTTATGAACCATACATTATTTCGGATACTCAGGCATCAACAAATCGTTAAACAATCTAACAATACTTACCTAATTTTTTTATCATTAATCAATCAATCATTATGTAATTCTGTACATATAACTTATCTACGTCATAGAATCTGGCCTTGTATGGTTTCATCATCGGAAATCATTTACATCAAATCATTATTACTATTTATTTTATTTTAATATTAATATTCAAGATATTTTATTTATAATTTAAATTAGACAATATCATTAATTAGACTTATAGAATATTTTATATTAATAAGATATTAATATGATGATATAAAATAAACAAACTCATAATTTTTCAAGTTCACCACTAATTTCCGTTTCACCATTTCCGATAATTTTACGTATACGATTGACACCTTGTACAAGTTGAATAGCTTTTTTAAACGTTTCTCTAGCAGAAAAATTTTTCTTTACATTTTCTAAAATGTCAACATTTGTAGCAGATTTGAACCAATCATGTTGTAGTGCTTGATGAGCCGTTATACGTTGTGTCGGGTTAAACGTTAACATTTTATCAATTAAGTCTTTTGCTATATAACATTAATGATTTAGTCAGATATATATATGTACGTTATTATCGTATGTTAAGATCACTCACCCAAATCTGATATATCATACCAATAGTCTTCTTCATATTCATAAATACCAGCCTTAATATTTTCAAATAATGTAACTTGATCCTCACCCCAAAATGGTGTATAACCGCATAATAAAATATAAGCTATGACTCCTAAACTCCAAATATCAACAGCTTTACCATGTCCCGTTTGTAATAATATTTCAGGAGCCACATAACTGTATATGTATATAAAGAGAGAGAACATTAAGGTTATTTTCGGATAATATAAAATCGTTTACTTACTTACCCTGGTGTACCACATGCGGTCATTAATATATCATTATCATCTTTCATAATTTTTGATAATCCAAAATCTGTAATCATTAATTTTGCATTATCAGTTTTATCTTTAAATAAGAGATTTTCAGGTTTTAAATCTCTATGCACTATCTGAATAAAAAGTATAAAGATCAAATTAAATCAACGAAATAATCAATAGTTAAGTTGAATCACAATTAATCATAAGTTTTACCTCATGATCATGTAGATAAGCGACACCTTCTAATATTTGTTTTACCAAATTAGCAGCATCTCGTTCAGTATAAGAACCTTTTAATAAAAGTTGATTAAATAATTCTCCTCCACTAGCTAATTCCGTTATAATAAATACTCCTTCTTTTGATTCATATAAATCCTTTTGCTTTACTATATTTGGATGATCTACTTTTTTTAATACACCCAATTCTGTATCTAACAAATTTTCTCTTCCTAATGAAATAATAATTTTTTTTTAAAAAAAAGAAAAATTTCGGAAAAAAAGATGTAATATACATACCTTTTATCGATTTTTTGGTAAGAATTTTTAATGCATATGATTCTCCGGTTTTTTTATCTATACATTCCTTAACAACGGCAAAACTACCTACGCCTATATTTTTTTTTAATACTTTGTAAGAATTTTCTAACTCTATTGGGTAAGTGATTTCATTATCTTTTTTGAAGAATGTAAAAAATTTATGCATGGTAGTTCTAATTGTATTCAAGAAATAATGAAGAACTGTACCGAAAGGAAGGTAATTATTTTTGAAAAAAAAAACCGAGAAAATTGAAAAGTATTTGAGCTCAATATATACTATTACACAGAAACGGTTGTGTTATATAGGAATATGTTGCTTTGCCACTTTGTTTTTTAAAGTGGTTCTAATCATGCTTGATGTGCATGTTTGACCAATTCTTTAATTTAATCGTACAAACTGCTTATTCTAGTGTTTTTGTGTGACAATAGGAATTTTTCAAGTATAAGAACTAGTTTTTAATCAATCTTACATAATATGCAATGTTAATCATAAATATTAAATAAAATGATCGAGAGAAAAAAAAACCTAAGGTTATATTAACAAAAATAAATAAGAATTCAAACTTAGCTATATCTTGACTATTTCATTGAATATTTCACCGATTTATTTGCCTATGATATCTTGATGACAGCTATTTACATCATAAATATATTTATGATGTCATATTAAATTATAATGCCGTAGATTTATGCGTGTGAAAATCTTACCATACTACCCTGTGATGATGATTTTATCACGTCGTCACGTGATGACCTTTTACGTTTTTTATTATGTTTCTATTTGTCACTGCATTATATTACGGCTGTACTACCACGTTTAAAGTACTATTTATATTGTGACAGGGTAGTGTGGTAAGATTCTTGTGACCCGGTCCCATGTAACACAAACTTCACAAGATAATGCAGATTATCTATCCCATTTTCGAGAGATCTTTTCATCAAAAAATTATAAAAATTATTCATGTCAACGACAGAAGAAATAACAGAAGAGTATCCACCCGTTAGAACGGGAGGTTCCTTGTTATTAGCTTGGCGTACTAATGCCAAAAATATTCTGATAGTAGGAGGAGGAGAAGTAGCATGTGGAAGGGTATTAAAATCGCTTGAGGCAGACGCAAAAGTAATATTAGTTTGTCCCGAACAAGGGTTACATCCCGAGTTAAAATATCGTATCCGAAAAAATCAAATTTACAAATATATTAACAGAAAATTTGATCCAATTGATTTAGAAGAGGATATTGATATTGTGTTAACGGCCATAGATGATCCAATTGAATCTAAAGAAATTTATCGATTAAGTAAAGAAAAAAAACTCCCTATTAACGTAGCTGATGTACCACCTTCATGTGATTTTTATTTTATGTCAGAGTATAGAGACGGTCCTTTGCAAATTGCAGTTAGTACAAATGGCCAAGGACCTAAGTTAGCCAACATTGTTCGTGACCATATTTCTAAAAACCTTCCAGATGGTATTAGTGAAGCTATTACTAAAGTAGGAATTCTAAGACAAAAAGTTCGTAAAATTGATCCAGATCATAAATCTTCGGGTAATCGTATGAGATGGATGTCAAAATTTTGTGAAGATTGGACAATTGAAGATTTACGAAAGTTGGACGATAATTTTATTGAAAATTTATTACCTTATTACGAGAAACATATAGTTCCAAGCTTTGAAACATTAACATCGAATAAAGCGAAAAATGTGGAGAAAGAAATGGAAGGAATTAATGAAAATGAAACAAGGAAAGGAAAATTAATTTTAGTTGGAGCAGGTCCAGGAGATCCTTCTTTATTAACTCATAAAGCAACTGAAGCTTTATCTAATGCGGATTTGGTTGTATCTGATCGATTAATTCCTTCAGAAATTTTTTCTACGGTAAAATGTGAAATACGTTTAGCTTCAGCTAAATCCGGTGCACAAAAATCTTCAAAATCTGATGAATCACAAGAAGAAATACAAAATTGGTGTTTAGAAGGGTTGGAAAAAGATAAAAATGTTGTTAGATTAAAAATTGGAGATCCATTCTTATTTGGCAGAGGAGGAGAGGAATTATCCTTTTTTAAAAAAAAGGGGTATAATGTACAAGTTATACCTGGTATTAGTAGTGCATTATCTGCTCCTATGGCCGCAAATGTACCTGTTACTCATAGAGGTTTATCTGATCAAGTTTTAATTATTACTGGCCAAGGAACTCAAGGGAAATTACCACAAGTTCCAAAATACCATGATATGCGTACTACTGTTGTGCTTATGGCTGTCGGAAAAGCTAATGAATTATCAAAAGAATTATTAAATAATGATTATCCTAGTGATCTTCCTGTTGTTTTTGTGGAAAATGGTGATCGTCCTAATGAACGTATCATTCGTGCTACTGTTGCTACTTTGGGTGAAGCAGTAGAAAAAGAGCATATTGTTGCTCCTTCAACTCTTATAATTGGAAGAGCTGTCAACGCTTTACTTGATTGAAAAATAAAAAGAGATGCAATTATTTTTCTCTAAAGTTTAGAAAGATTTTATTTATTTCTTTATATTTATTGCCATTTGTATTTATTATTTATTTAATCACATTGAAATAAAATCTTAACCTTTTCAAAAATTAACTTTAAATCTTTATTATCAATTATCGGTACATTTTTAAATAAACAATAAGAAAAAATATTTTTTTTATCTTGATGTACTTTCACAAACGTCTGCCTCTACGACCACCCTTTCTTCGAGCTATATGAAAATTAAGTAAATTACCAAAAATCCTTATTTAAAAAAAATTATTAAAACTTTTGAAGTAAATGATACTTACTGCTATCAGTGGGAATAGGAGTAACATCCTCAATCCTACCGATTCTCATACCAGCTCTAGCTAAAGCTCTTAAAGCAGATTGAGCTCCAGGCCCGGGAGTTTTTGTACCATTACCACCTGTAGCACGTAATTTAATATGTAAAGCTGTAATACCTAATTCTTTACATTTAGCCGCTACATCTTGAGCTGCTAACATAGCTGCATACGGCGATGACTCGTCACGATCTGCTTTCACTTTCATGCCACCTAATGGCGTGAACATTCCCACCAAAAAAAAAAATATTCCGAGATCATATATTAGCATTTTTTTATGGGAGTATGTGTTTCACCACTAGTCCCTCGTTTTTTTTATAAAGAATATTATTTGAATTAGGTATAAATGTTGTAAGATTAAATCATTCATTTAAATCTTTCTCAACATTATTAACCAATTTATATTCCTTATAATAAAAAAAAATTTTTAAGATTTTTTAAAATTTCTATTATTGATAAACGCACCAGTAACACGAACGATAGTTTCTTTTCCAGATAAATCAGTTACATGCACAAAAGTATCATTAAATGAGGCAAAAATATGTGCGACTCCATATACAAGTTCACCTTCTCGAACTTGAGGTCCGAGCGAAATATTTTCCTCAACTTTAACTTTCTTTTGTTTTTTACTCTATAATAAACAAAAAGATTAATCTGATCAATTTTTTTTTTATTTTTTTTTGGATGAACAAAAATGTAATAAAATCATTCAGAGCTTACCATTTTTTTTATTAACTTGAAAGAGTAGAGAGAGATTAAAAATTTTTTTTAAAAATTTTTTATAATGTGATCGCTTAAAATTAGCCAATAACTAACAACGTGCAAACGTGACACATTCTAAACACTAAATTACACCTCGCCGTAGGTTAGATCTGCTTAACGATTATTTAATTTATCCCCAATCTTTCTGGAGATATTTTTAATTTGCATAAGTATGACGGCAATTTTATTTATTCTTTTGGTTTTAGCTTATTAACTTAATACCCATTTATTTTTCTTTTTCTCTTAGTGAGCGTATTAATTGAAACTTCAGTCGGTGATATGGTTATAGATCTTCACACAAAACTATGTCCAAATACAAGTTTAAACTTTCTAAAGTTGTGTAAAATTAAATATTATAATTTTTGTTGTTTTCATAATGTTCAAAAAGATTTTATGGTACAAACAGGAGATCCAACAGCGACTGGTAAAGGAGGAGAATCAATATTTGGTATTTTACATGGACCTACAGAAAGATATTTTCCAGCAGAAATAAGATCAAAATTAAAACATAAAAAAATGGGTACGGTTTCGATGGCAGTAGCAAGCGACGGAGCAGAAGGCAAAGGAGTTAGTGGGTCACAATTTTTTATTACAACCGGAGAAAATTTAGATTATTTAGATGGTAAATATACAGTATTTGGAGAAGTGGCAGAAGGATTCGATACTTTAGAAAAAATCAATAGTGCATATTGTGATGAGAGTGGAAGGCCATATAAGGATATTAGGATTAAACATACTTACATACTTGACGATCCATTTAATGATCCCGAAGGTCTTCAAGTACCTGATAAAAGCCCTTCACCAACACGTGAAATGTTAGAAACTGTAAGGATAGGAGAAGATGAAAGCATTGAGCCCGAGTTACCACCTGAAGAAATGGAAAAAATAAAGAGACAAAGAGAAGCACAAGCACAAGCATTAACATTAGAAATGATTGGTGATTTGCCTTTTGCTGAGGTTAAGCCACCTGAAAATGTTTTATTTGTATGCAAATTAAATCAAGTAACAAGAGATGAAGATTTAGAATTAATTTTTTCAAGATTTGGTACTATTAATAGTTGTGAAATTATACGCGATAAAAAATCCGGAGATTCTTTAGGTTATGCTTTTATCGAATTTGAAAACAAGGAAGACTGTGAAACCGCATATTTCAAAATGAACAATGTTTTAATTGATGACAGACGAATTAAAGTAGATTTCTCTCAATCCGTTTCAAAACTTCATAAAGATTGGTTAAGTTCCAAAATGAAAAAACATGATGGTGAGGGTTATGGAGGATCTACGAGTTTGGAGAAACGTACGAAATATCGAGCTGGAGACGTCAAACCTACTGATAAATATGATCTTGTATTTGATCATACGGACAATTATAACGACGAAAAACAAAAAGTTAAGAAAGAAGATAAATATTCTTCAATCTCTTATCGGGAAAAGGAAAGAGATCGTGATCGTGATCGTGAAAATAGAGATAGGGAAAGAGATAGGGAAACGGATAAAGGTGTAAGAGGACGGAATAGTTACTCTAATGGTAAAGATCATTCAAGGAGGAGATCCCGATCTGCAAGTCCACCATCTAGGAGGAGATCAGATAGAGACAAGTATGATAGGAGAGACAATAGGGAAAGGGATCGTGGTCGTTACCGATCTAGGTCAAGATCACGTTCTCGAGATAGAAGAAGAGATAGGAAATAATTGAATCTAATAAAAGAACAATCGTATTTGATATTCTTTTATGAGCAAATTTTATCATAAATGCATAGACAGCGCAGAAAATTTAAATAGAAAATTTTTTATTAAATTATAATCATAGAAGTATTACTGAACTTTCTAAGTTCGGTACACAATTGCGAGCATTCATTTCATTTTTAGGAAGCGAAGACAAAAAATAATAAAATGACGAATAAAATTATTTTGTTTACAAAGAAACGCAAAATTTTCTCAAGACAAAATACCTTAGGTTCTAAGATTTCAAAGATTGATAATATGAGAAAGTTTATTTATTTAACTTTATTAACAATAGGCTCCCTTATTTTATATCTTTTCCATACCTATTTTTTAACTTCATCAATAATAGGCTCCCTTATTTTATATCTTTCCATACATAATAATTAATAAATATAATGGTATTGTGATTAATTAAGCTCCTTTGTATTACATGTATTACCGCTGTTAAGTTATATAGTAATTGAATTATTATTATTACTTTAATAATAATGACGCTCTTTTTAAATTTTCATAAAAGTTTTAATTTGCATAAATCAATTCAATTATACAATAGCTCTTCTTTAATATGTCGTAAACTAACAACCTCCTCTTCCACTAACAAAACAGAAACTTTAAAAGGCTGGCGTAAACATGCAGCAGACTTCCGTTCAAAACCTGGATCATATATTGTCTCTTTTGCAATTTTACATGAATTAACAGCTATAGTCCCTATACCATTAGTTTATATTTTTCTTTCTTCTACAGGTATACAAATTCCTTTTCCTCAACAAGCACTTGACGAAGGAAATAAATTTATTAATAAAGTGGTAACTTATTATGGCTATCCACCTTTTAACAATGGCAGTAGAATTGCACTAAATGCTGCTACAAGTTACGCTGTCGTTAAGGTATTTAAAATTATAATTAAGAATAACGTGTCACTTTTATGTAAAACCTAATTAATATAAAACTATCTTTCTTTTGTAAAGGCGATAATGCCTTTACGCATTGCAGCTTGTGTATGGATGACTCCATGGACTGCGGAAAGAATAATAGGTCCAATTATGGGAACATTTAAACATATTATAAGAAAGAAATGAATATTCGACTGGTTATATATTGTTTCCATTTACAATATATTCACAACTTAGTTTCTAGATAGAACTTTTTTTAAGTAAATCTTTAATGTTTTCTCTAACAGCCTTATCCAGAACAGTATGGATTTCTTTACATCCTTTAGCAGCCATTTCCATAACTTGTTGAAATTTATCAATATGTAATCTGGACTCCATCTACAAAAAAATATTTTAATGAGATGAAAAAGAAACTTAGCATCACGGATATGTATCTTTTTTTACCTGTAACAAAGTAATTTTATCATTTTTTGGTAATAGAGCCACGGTTAACTCTGGCGTATTTGATTCTTCGAGGTGATTCAAATCTAAGACAGGTTCATCATCTATGCAACCAGCTGAACAAGCACATACATAGTCCTTCATTGGTATGCCTGCATCAATTATCGCTAATGTTGCAGCATTTATACAAATTTGAACAGTACCTATGAAAAAGAATAAGAATTAATTTATTGTGAAATTTGAAATAATAATTTTTTGCTTTCAAGACTTACCTCCGTCAAACTGTAATATTTGTAAATAAATATCAATTTGAGACCTGGCATATAATTCAGTCATTATAATTGGTTCAAAAGTTTGTTTTACAGCCGATGCAATCTCCAAGATACGCCTAGCATATAATATAGTCGTTGCGTGTCAATTAAACTTAACTATAATAACACAATTAAATACTATTTACTTGTCAGATTTAGATCTTTTTTTCCTTTCTTCCATACTAAAAGGAGCTAAAGAAATTTCTACGTTAATATTTGCTCTGTTATGGAGTACTTGAGCTTTCGTCCTTGCCTGCAGAAGCAAAAGAATTAAAATTTGATTTATTAAATAGTTCAATATAAACGAATAAGAACAATGAAGAACCTCTCTGGGTCCATAAACAGCGGCCAAACATTTTGTATTCCCTTGTTCAATATACGCTGAACCGTCAGCTTGACTTAATACCGAAGGTTTACAATTCATATTACGCAATTCATTAAAACGTCGACCATCAGTGCGAAGACCTGTTTTGAATAAAGTTAATTTTGCGACAAAGTAACAATTTTGAAGGAATAACTTATTTACCCTGAGGACCTATCAACTCTAGTCGCGACTTTATAAAGTAAAAAAATTTAAATTTTATTGATAAAAAAGTTTTTACGAAATATTTCCATGAAAAATAGCGGAAAAACTTACCATTTGAAGCGTAAAGATGATAGATTGTAAAAAATCATTATATATCATATGTATAATATTGTTACACTAGTTTTGATTTTTCTATTAAATTCCAAAATTCCCGCTGAAATTTCAGCAAGATAATTTTTTATTTAAAGGTTTGTTATTTAAAACTTTTAAACTTTTTTTTTTAAGATCCTTTCCTTCACTTTTACATTTTTTCTTTATAAAATATGTCAGTTGACTTAAGAAGATTTATAGACCGACTAGTATCAGTATATACAGCACCAAACGAGTTTCAAGAAAGTCGTTTTTTACTCATCCTTAAAACAAATTGTCCAGTAGGTGCAGAATTATGGTTACAATATAAAAAAAGAGTAGCGACAAGTTCAGCTCCATTTAAAGTAGAAGAAGCAACAAAACAATGGGATGAATCTCCAACTTCTTCTTGTGGTATGGATGCTTTTATTACATTATTAAATGCTACTTCATATAATTCTGTTTTATTTGAGTGTTTAGCAGAAGTCGTTACACCTTCAAGAGAATTGGTTATTAGATGGATGGCACCTTATTTAAGAAGATTTAGTAAATATATTCCATCGCAGAATATGTGGTTATGTGATCAAAGAAGAATGGGACCTGAATATATGAATAGAGATGCTGGCGAAATGTATTTAAGACAAGGTATTTGTGAATGTGTTGATGTATTAAGACAATTCAATGGAAGGGAAGAAGTTATTAATGTTGCTCTAGAAGTTTTGGAAGGTGTAGAAATGCCAATGTATTTAAAAGTTATGTTAAGAGGGATTACTGACGAAGAGCTTCCTTGGTAAATCTAATTAAATTTATTTAGTGAATTAAAGATGTAATTAGAACAGATGATGTATTAAAAGGCGTTTAATGACTATTACTTTCTTTAAGCTATATTTACACTCATAATACGTAGAATACGTAGTTTGCTGTACACATACATGATATAAATGATATAGCTGTAATAATTTCCTGAACTAACCAGACTAGCCAAAAAGGATTCAATTGTGGAAAATATTGATATATTATCTTATAGATCATATAGATGGCTCTTTTAAGAAACAGTCAACTTTCTCAATTAGTTCTAAAATTATAGCAGTTGGTTTGCTAATTATTAGTCGTGTTGATGTACTTGGTTGATTATATGAAATATTATTAAATTCATACAAGCCTAACCACCTAGAAAATTAACAGTCAATACACAAATAAATTCAAATTTTTATATAATTAAGATTTATCTGTTACTAATATAAATAAAAAAACTAAAAATTATACTTAACAGTTAATTAGTAGGCAATAAAGTTTTTAATAATTGTTTTTGTTCAATTACTGATTATAAAGTTACCATAGTAGTAAAAAATAATTCAAATAACTAATTACAACATTACCTTACCACTGTTTTAGCCAGTTAATCAGGCAATTTACACAAATAATTTAGCTAAATTTAAATAGTATAAGACTAATTTGAACTTAGGTGATTTAATCTGGATAATTTAATTTTAATACTAATAAATTTTATATAATTATATAATTTTGCCCAAATTTTCTGTAAATTATGGTTACAATTAAAAACAAGAGGCATTGTCAAAAATCAAAAACAAGAGGCATTGACATCAAAAATATAAGAAAATTTATCATTATACTTTATAATGTTTAAATAAATAAAACCTATATTTTTTTTTAAAAAAAAATGATTAATATAAAATATAAATTTTAAAAGAATAATTTAATCCAGATTATTTAATCTAGAAGGTAAATTAGCAAAACTTATTTAAATAATACTAGAAAAATTGCATTTAAATTAAAATATAAAAGTATCACTAATACTAATAGTTAATTTTAAATAAATTATAATTTTGGTTAGAGTTAAAAATTTAGATAATTTAAATAACAAATATGTAAAATAATTATTATTAAATTCTAAAATATAAAGTTTGTTTGAAAATTGTATTTAATTATATTATATTCATTAAATTTTCTAATACAGTACAGTCAACTCTCTTTATAGTCACACATTTGGGACAGTCCATATTTGGTGATTATGAGCAAACAGTCTTATGACTTTATCTTTTATTAAAATTTAAACGAAAAGTACAAGAAACAAATCGAACTATATTACAGAATATATAAAATTTAAACAAAAATAAAAAAAAACTAGCTTCACGATTCATACAAGTAAAGAAATCTAAACAAAATAAAATTAAGTAAAGAAAAACAAACTATTACAGAAACGCATACCCCATCTTTACCCGAAGGCCAGTGTGAGTCAACTATCCAGCATGTCCTAAGATCCGATCCGTTACCAAAAAGAAATCCTAAGTAGAGGCTGAACT